CAGTAGCCCCTTTAAGCTCCATTGGTAAGGACAGTGTCCAGCCAGACCTAGGCACTGGGGGAGGCGGGAGATAAGAGGTCAGGGGAGCCAGTGGGCTGCACTGCTCCAGGCCTGGCTCAGCCACTAGAGGTGGCCTCAGCTGGGACTATTCAGTGTCGACAGCCTCTTTCTCAGCCGTAAGTGTGCAAATGGTAATGGCGCCGCTTAGTAGGATTGTCACGTGGTGACCAAAGAGAATGTGTGGGGCGCGCTCAACTTCAGTCACTGAGAAAGCATGCTGACCACTGGGGATCCTCGTGTATAACACAGAGGGCAGCAAAGCAGGGCAGAAATGGGCCCAACGCTGACCACACAGACACTTTCTCTATCCCGCTCTCTCTCTTCCCCTCCTTCCTGCATAGCGAGGCCAGAAGGGTTGGGGAACTGTGCCAGGGCACCCCCAAAGAGTTCAGCATCCTTTGCCTATTAGCACCAGGGGTCAGAAAACTGGCTGGCCCAGCTAGCAGGGTGAAGGGCAGTGCAGCCCTATCTGAACATCTGGCCAACAAGGCTGACTCACTGGGCATGCTGTCGCGGTGTGCATTCCTGTCATTGTTTGCCCAAGGCAGGGCGCGGGCTGCGGCGGGAGGACCTCTCAAAAGTGAGAGATCCATGGAAATAGCCTGCCTGCCCATGGGCACTTGTCCTGCTGGTCCTTCCCTTCCTGGCCTGGGTGATAAGGATGAGTTGCAGAAGGGGCCCTAGTAACCTCTAAGGCCTCCCCTCTCTCCCTTGCCGGGGCTGGATCACTACCTGGGCTCTACCCAAGAAAACCCTCCCCAGCTTTACTGCCTGGCAAAGTCCCCCTCATCTCAGATACACCTCCCCAGAGAGTGGGCTCCTCATGGCTTTCCCCAGCCTCCCTCACATGGAACCTTCAATATGGCCTGCCAGTGTTGCCTGGCATGTCTGTGTCCCCGCTCCCTGAGGGACAGGGACTCTGTGACAGTGTGATATGGCACATGACGCAGGGCTCTGGAGCTGGAATCACACCCATTTGCTGTGTGATCTTGGTAAACCTCTCAACCTCTCTGTGCCTCAGATTCCTCATCTAAATGGTATCGATCACCTGTGGTTGTCATGAGGATTAAGAGAAGAAGAAAAGTATTTCAAGCATCACCCAGCACCCACTGTTTTTAGCAAGTGTCTTCCCTTTCCCATCTGGGGTGTCTGCCTTGGAGCAGACTCTCCTTGGTGAGTGTTGGCTGAAGGAAGCCCTGAAAGCTGAGGACTGTGTGCCTCAAACCCTTTGGGCTGCATCTCTTGAGCCTTGACCCATGTTAATCATGAAGGAAAATAGAGTCACAGCTAGGAGTGGGTATCTGCCTCCAGTTTCCAGCTCTTAGAGGTCACTGTGACTAAGTAGGATGAGACAGAACAAAGGCCACTGAATCATGCAAAGTGGGAAAAATGATTTTAAATCTGCCTTTCCACATTGCGTTCCTTTAAATGCTCCGGGCAGATGCCCACTGCGCAGGGACACTCAACAGGACCAGAGGTGCTTTGTCCCCTGAAAGGCCCCATTGTGACCCCCACTGACCAGAGTGATTCCCAGAACAAAAGGCCCTTGTGGGTGCCCTGCTGGCCTGCTAGCTCCCAAGGCTGGGGGTGCGAACCTTGGCTCTCGCCAGTCAGCATCTAGAGGCTTTAAATTCCCTATTTGCGCCTCTTCTGGGATTCTGATAAGTATTTTTTAGCTCCTGAAAACTAACTGTGCCTTCTCCAGGAGAAGGGCAGTTCCAGTGGGGCAGGGCACTGCCTCCCAGAGGAAGAAATATATTTGAATAAAGCCCCACAGGACTACCAGGAGTCCCCATGAGGCAGGGAGGTGCAGCTACTGTAGTCACAGACAAGGGTTTCCAGGATGTGCTGGTTGAACTTGACCCACAGCTGCCTTGGCTATCTGGCCTCCGAGATGTGCATCTCACCCCACACTTGTCCACAAGTAATCGTACGCTCCGTGGAGCGGCCCCCAAGGGCTGAGGAAGGCAGGAGGGTATGCACAGACTCACCAAGTCACTGACTGTCAAAGTGGTGCCAAAACACCCCCAACCACTGTCTCAACACTGCTACCCCCACCTCTTCGACCCCTGCCTTCTGGGACTGTGCTTGAAAGACCTGGTCACTGTCATCTCCTGAGAGGCTGAGGGACAGTCCTGCACTGAGTGGTCTGACAACCCTGGTGTGAAGGAGGAGGGATGCAGTCCTTTTCCCTTGGGCCCGTGTCCTGGAGGGAATGATACTTGGGTGGATCTCAATGGTTTGGTCTATTCTGCAAGTTCAGGTTTTCAGTCATGTCCTAGACATTGTCTTCTTTTTAATCCTCCTCAGACCTATGGTTAACTTTTTGTTCCATGAGCTTAAAAACACCCAGTTACTCACCTTCTTTACTAAGCATCAGCTCAACTGGGTGGGGCTTCGGCTTCCTGAAAGCTAGGCGTTGTCCTAACTTTGTGGCTGAGCAACCAGCCCTATCCACGAGATGGCTAAGTCCAGCATCTGGTGCAGACCCCGCTGGTGGTCTGGGACGGCTTCATCCCCTGCTTTCATCCCCTTCTGCAGGTTCTGCCCTCTGGCACCAGGGCCAAGGTCTAGTCTCACTGTCAGTTCCTGACAGGTGGAAGACAGACCCACATGAGGACAGGCCTGGCACCCAAGGGTGGTAAACCAGCACAGGGCTCCAGGACCAGAAGGAGCCACCTTAAATCCAGCTCCAGTGCATTTGAGTTGAATGAGTGTTTCCTCATCCATATAACAGTGGTAGTGGCTGCCTCCTGTGGCTGCTGGAGGCAGAGACTCTATATGTGCAAGGGGCTCAGGCAGTGCTTGGCCCAACAAGAGCTCCAAACATGACAGCAAGATGGTCACACGGATGTAAAGGTGGTCTTCTTGGCAGCCGTGTTTGAGTGCAGGTGCTATCTGACTGCATCAGGACCACCAAGCAAGCAACAGCTGAGGAATGTTCCATCTGCCCTTGGGGTGGCATCAAAAGATGCCCCAGGGGAGATGTCCCTGCCCAGGACTTCAGAGGCAGAGAGGAGGGGCAAGTCAGTCACAAGAAGTTTGGGGGCAGACACCATCTCCTATCTCGGGAGACCAATGGTCCCAGGACACAGTAGGTGCTCAGTCAAGGCCTATTCTCGTGGTCTGAGTACCTATTAACTCTCCCCAGCAGGCTTCTTAAGTGTCCCTACCCTGGGCATCATGAGTTTCCAGAGGAGCAGTGCCCCTAGGCTTGTGCATCTGCCAGCATTTGTACCTGTAAACACTTGTAAGAGCTGGATGCAGACAGCTAAGCAATGGATTGTGAGCCAGGAAACTGGGTAGGTTGGGGTAGGGGGAGAGGGAGCGTGGTCTTGTGAAAAGAAAAGCAAGACCAGGGAAGGGCATTTTAAAAAAAAAAAAAATTTTTAAGATTTTGTTTATTTATATAAGAGCTGGGGTACAGGCCAGAGGCACGGAAGGGTGAGAGGGTCACCAGAGACAGGGCAAGGAGCAGGACAGGCAGATGGATCATAAGCACTGCTGAGGGGAGCAGCGGGCGAGACAGGAGAGGTCTGCTGCGCCATGTGGGCTGCTCTCTGGCCGGCTGGGGATTGAACCCGCGCTGACCTGCGCTGCAGAGGCTGCAGACAGCTTCACAGCGCTGTGCTCCACCCACTGCGTCCCCAGGGAGGCTCAAGGGAGGGCATTTGCTGAGGTCAAATGTCAAATGAAACTGCACATTCTCAAAATGTGAAGGAATGAGAAAGTCATCAGAGAGAATTGTCTGTAAAGCCCTGGACTAATATGAGTAATATGGTTAGAGCAATTTGCAATTGAAAAAGGGCAAATAGAGAAAGGCCCTCAAAGTTTCTTTGAAGAGAGTGATTAAAATTTTGAAATCTTGAGAAAACTTTGGGAAATCCAGCTTAGCTTTTGGGTTGTTTTCTTTGATGTGTCAAAATAGTGACTGTTCGCTTCATGCTGTGGTGCTCTGGGATGCGATCACGCCATTTTGTTGGGAAAAAAAAAAATGAACCATTGAGAGAACATTTCATTAAACTCATGACAAACTTCCTATTCTTTCTTAACTTGTACTTTAATTTTTCAAGAGAAAGTCCCAATTAAACTAATTGATTATGAAGGTTTTTTTGACTTAAATTTTGTCTTCAGTGGACTCACCAAAAGTGGCCCCTTTCTGGCATAATTATCCTGGGCTGGTCATGGACTTCCTAAGAGTCTACTGAGACTCAACTTAGTCACAGGTTCTGCAGGCTGGAAGGGGATTAAATGTCAGTTAGTTCAACCTTCCTGGAGACATGAGTCTTGGCTCTCCGTGGCCGCTAGAAGTGGTCCAGCCTTGGCCAGCGCACCTCCACAGCTGGATGCTGATCGCTCTGTGAGGTGCCTGTTCTGGTGTCTGGAACATCGTTAACTTCTCTGAGCAAAGGGATAAGGAAGCACTTCATGCCGGGGAGCTAGCCTTCAGGATTCCTAACTCAGTATCCTCTTTCTCAGCCATCCCCTTACTTTCAACCCAGACAGCTCTTATGCCCTCACTGCACCTTTCACGCTGTGGGCTGTGCCCCTTCTCCCCTAGGGAGTGGCCCAGGGAAACCCCAAGCTGCCGATTATCCCCATCCCCAGTGGGAACGGCACTCAGTGCTCACTGCCCAGCTCATTTCTGATCAAATGCACAAAGAGTAAGACGTGTCTGCACCCTGGTTTCTTTTGATTTAAGGGACTTTCTAATTGAGCACAGAAGCCATTCTCTTTAGGAAAAAGAAGGAGCCCCCAGGCCGATACCTGGAGAGTTTCCAGTCAGGCTGCAGCCATGCTGGGGCACTGCCTCTGGGTATGAGGGCCACGCACACAGCAGTCATCTGAACTGTCGCTTGCAGCTGCCTCTAGAGATTCTGCTTAGTCCTAGCATTCCTCAGAAAGCAAGCTGAAATGATGGCTGATACTAGAGAATTGAAAAGAACCAAACACACCCCACACAAGTAATGAACATAAAGGTGTTTATAAAGTGTTTCAAAGGCTTATCGTCTTCCACCGTGCACGTTGGCAAATATTTGTTGGGTGGGTTTTATTCCCCATGACTTGCAGAATGTCCATGAAGACTCAGAGATGTGCTTCTAGGTGGGGGTGCTCAAAAGAACCTGTGGAAAATTCCAGCAGGCAATTCTCCAGATCTGGTCCTGGAGTCAGCAGGGGTGGTCTTTGTTTCCGGGTCTCTCAGACTACAATCTCCACTTCCCACCCTTTCGTCCCCCCTTCACAAATACGAAATGACCCTTTAGAAAGACAATAGTCACTCAGTAGTTGGAGGTGAAACCATAGCAAGCCCCCAACCCCAGCATGAAGTAAATGGGAAAAGGAACATAACACCCACACACCCACAAGACACAGTGTTGGTTTTTTTTTGTTTGTTTGTTTTCTTTTTTCCACCATCAACAGCATGTCTGTGTTTTAAAAAGTTATGCTGAAGTCAGGCCGATCAGTTAACACCATCTGGGTTTTCAGCTAAAGCTCTTCTGTTGCCTTATGAAGACTTCCATCTGATTAAAGAAAACACCGCATGGACCACGTATAGCACAGTGACTACGTACGAAAACACCTGAAACAAAGATGAAGACAGTTAGTGGGTGTGCAGGGGGAGGCCAAGGCTGGCAGGCACCTGAGGATGATAGCCTGGAAGTGTGTGGACCACCCCTGCTTCCATCACTCTCACAGCCTCCTTTCCCACTGAGCCCAGAGGAGGTCCCAGGATGCTTCTGCATGGAGTGCAGGTGACCCAGTGATCTGTTGGATTTGGCATGCAAAGTCAACTATCTGCGCCCCCAGCGTCACATTGGTGCCACCCAGCTGGAACTCAAAAGATGCTCACAAATATAAACTGCTGTCCATGGACACTTCCTTCCACCAGACCAATAAGGGCAGTGTCCAGCTGTGGGCCTAGAAGCCTTGGCTAAGAACATATGAGCACATGAATTTGCTGGCTCTGGCTAAGGGTCTCAATGATGCCTGGACAACCTCAGACCACCCCCCCCCATCATAATTTTATTCTAGGATTCTTCATTTCACGGGCCCGGGCAAAAGAGCCAGGCTCATAAGAAGGGTCAGAAACAGGGTCAGGGAGGAGGGATTTTGAACCTTTGCAAAGAGGAGGGGACTTACTGAAAGCTACTGGGAAGATCCAGTCATTTTGGCCCTGAGAACATGGCTGTCACTTTGTGGCTTGCCATGCCCTGACTTTCTGTGTCCATTTGGGCGCCATCTATTCTGATCACCCTACTCTGGGTGGCTGGCTTCCCTGGCGGCTTGCCTGCCCACAAGTCAAATATCTGCACCTGGTTTTGTGAACTTGGGCATAGGGTCAAGTGTTTCCAACCCAGACACAACATTAGGGCTGCTATGCTTCTGTGATTCTTGAAAATGTCCATAAACACCAGCGGTCACAGTGCCTGCTCGCTCCCTCCTGCCACATGGGGCGGGCCCTTCACTCTCATTGGCCAGAGGCGAAGAGTAAATTGAGTTATTTAATAACAAATTAAAGACAACTCATCCGGGGAGTCTTAAGTACCTTGTCTGAAAAGTAGCCATCACACATGAGTGAGTAGCCGCCCCAAAACACACCCCTCCCTCTTAGGTGGAGGCAATTTACTGTCTGGGGAATGTCAGATCCATTGAGAACCCTTGGCAGGAGCATCTGAGAAATGCCCAACAAGAACAGGTAAAGGGCCTCCCTGGTGGTGCATCGGGTTAAGACGCAACCTATGAAGCTATCCTCAGCTACTGCAGCACGAGTTCAATCCCCGGCCAGGGATATACCCACATGGCGCAGCAGACCTCTCCTGACTCAACCCCGCTGCTCCCCTCAGCAGTGTATTTCAATCTGCCTGTTCTGTTCTTCACTCTGTCTCTGGTGAATCTTCTCACCCCCAACACCTCTGGCCTGTACCCCAGTTCTTGTATGCATAAATAAATCTTTAAAAAAAAAAAAAAAGAACCGGTAAAAAATGGCATGTGGGGGACATTGAGAGGCAGGGGTGTGAGTGGAAGCACTTGGCCTTCAAAAACTCCCATTCCTGCACTGCTGCCATTACTTCCCACCATAATTAAGGCCCCCAAGCTTTCAGATTGCTGCAGAAATCGCCAGTTATCCTCAGTCAACTCCCACTAACCCCAGGGATACCTTGAGCACAGAGATTCTGCTGCGCAAAGGAGGACAGAGAAGCCCAGCTTCTGAGGCAAGTCCCAAAAGCAGCCAGAGGGAGAGGGAAGGGAGTCCAGTGCTTCCAAATGCCAGAGGTATGTGGGAGCAGGTCTCAGAAGCCTCACTACACCCCAACAGGCCACCCCTGAGACCCTTTGAATGCTGTGGTTGCACAGGGATTGGGGTTAAGTCCTGAGTAAGTATAAATCCTCCCCTAAGTGCCGATACAGTTGACATTTTGAATTGAGAGGTGTGACTTTACCTTGAAGCAGGAAGCAGGTTTATATTTCACCTTCCTGGTTTCAGCCCAGTGCATTGGCCTGCTGAGAACATTTTGATTCTGATTCTGACACTCCTAACTTTGCCTGGACATGCTCATGTTTCTCTAACTCAACTAGTAAACATGTGGGGCCACATCAGTTGTGGAATGGATATTGATACAGGCATCCGTGAACTACTACACGGTGATGAGAATAAACACTACACCTCCACCTAACAATGTGGGCGAGCCTCACAGACATAAGGCTGAGAGAAAGGAGCCAGATACACACTGTGTATGAAGTTCAAAGCTGCCTAGGCAGTCGAAACCAATGCAATGGGCATCCTTGGTGTGGGAGCATAGTGAAAGTGAGTGAGAGTGCCAGGATGAGGGAGGGATTTCTAGGAGCTTGTCTTATTCTTAATTTCAATACTAGTTATACAGAGAAGTTCCCTTTATGAAGTTACATCAAGCTGTGAACTTGCATTATGCCACTTCTCTGGATATATGTTGCATTGCCATAAAAAGTAAAAATCAGGATAGAGTAGAAGCACAGTGGTCCTTAACCAGAGACCTGTCCAGTGGGTAGGGGCATTAATTCATCCCATCTGGATCATTTCCTTAAGTGCTAACCCAATAGCCACTTTTTTTTTTTAATAGAGGAATGTTTTATTTATTTATTTGTTTGTTTGTTTGTTTTGTTTATATATGCACTGGGTACAGTCAGAAGCGCGGGAGGGTGAAAGAATTCACCAGAGCCAGAGTGGGGAGCAGAACAGGCAGAAGGACCGAATCACACTGCTGAGGGGAGCAGCGGGCCGCAGGAGAGGTCTGCGCACCATGTGGGACCCTCCTCCTGTGGCCGGGGAGCAGCCGGGGGATCGAACCGGCGCTGCAGAGGCTGCGGGCAGCTTCGCAACCCAGCGCTCAACCGCTGCGCCACCGGGGAGGCCCCACTAGCCACTTTTCATCTGCATTTCATTACTGTGCCTGTAATGATTTTACATGAATTGCTGTCAAATGCTTTGCTGATGTCGGTAAGGACAGAAGACTTCTAGGACTGGGATAAGGAGAGGTATGGGGATCTCTAGGGCAGGGGAGATGAAACAGTTATTTGAAGGAAGGTGGAGGTAAATTGCAAGCCTCCCCGGGGAAGGAAGAGCACCCACGTGCTGTCTGGCTGTGTTACCATTTAGGAAGCAGCCTTGTGGGAGACAAGCCAATATGGGAGATGCTGCCCACACTGAGGGACATTGGAGGAGGCACCAGGGATCCACCATGTTTATGGTCCTGGGGAGCAATCAGGATGTTTAAGGGGAGTGTGTGGCTTCCTCCAGCTGGGGGATGGACTCTAGTCACCAGCAGATAAGGTTGTGAGGAATTTTCCCCCAGACCTCCCTCTGGGAGCAGGATGAACAACGCCCTCCCCAGAGTCCAGTAATACAGATCCTTGTGGGTGTTCTCTCAGCCTTTTCTCTACCCTTTCCAAAAAGGTGGGATAGCACAGCTTTGGCACCCTGGAGCTGGCATCTGGTGATCTAACATCACATTTAATTTGGGACTGGATAATTCACAGCTTGATTTCTAGGAATCAGACGTGGTATTTCCAAAACTTTTCCCTATTTTTGAAATAATATCCAGGATTAGAAATACATTTACTATGGTGAGTTAGTATAGTGGTGCCAACCCACACTTGTACAACTCTGAGAAAAATTTTATGCAACAAAACATTTATTCCCCATGATTCTGACCCATTCCTTTAAAAAGAGAAGTCAGGGTAATGACCTCACAGTCCATCTTGTCCTGCTGTTGGCAAACATTTTTTTTAAAGCTCAGAAACTTGCCTGGAATGTGCCCCCCATTCATACAAGTCAGCACCCCAATTTGTTCTGCTGCTGGGGTGAATGTGGCACAAGGTCCTATTTCACTCACCGCTGTCTTTGAGGCCTTGGGAGGACATTGCTGAATGTCACTATAACACTAGAGGGTGACAGACAGGAATTACAATCTCACTTCATATGAGTGGGCCAAGGCTCAGAGAGCAAGGGGTGTGCACAGGAATTGGTGGAGAGGGAAGCCGGGTTCTCCTCCTCCCATAGGTTCTCAGAGCTGTCAGGCTGCAGACTTTGTCAGGAGGCCTAAATCACAGCAGCAAACCCCTGCAAGCTGGGGGTCTGGACACACTGGTTCCTGAAGGACTCCTCAGAGTCAGGGCCTAGTGAGACACAGACCATTTGATTCCCCACCCCCAGCCGCAATGCTCCTCTGCCCCAGCAGTATGCTTCCATGGAGGACTGCTCAGGGACAGCCTGGAGATCCACTTGGCCAGAGTCACACTCCAGATGTGTGGTAAGAATCAGATGACAGGGCACCTGGCTGGAACACCAGCCCCACCAATCCCTGTGACCTTCGGGCAAGTCACCTCTGCTCTTGGTTGCCCTGTCTCCATCTGTGATGTGGGCATAAGAACAGTGCCCACATCGTGGGGCTGTTGTGAGGATTAAGGGAGAGAGAGCATGGAGGCCCCCAAGTGCCGGTCATTTGGCAGTTATGTCTCTTATACATCTGCACTGGGAAAAGCCCACTGGATGCAGACCCTGTGCCAGCCCAGTCCTGGGCAACGTGGCACTCAACCACGCAGCTGAGGGGCCCTTGGGCCCCTTCTCTTGGACTTTGCTTTTTCACAAATGAGGGGAAGGTTTACTCCATTCAAAACTCAATGAACTATAAAAAAAACAAAAACAAAAACCAGCTAAGTGATGGTGGGGGCACCATCCCCTCAGACCCTCTGTCAGCAGCTGTGGGGCAGGTGGCTGGGGGCTCACCACGGCGGAGATGTTTTCATGGTACTTGGTGAAGGTGTAGCCGTCATACATGTAGATAGTGGCCAAGGCTTCCAGGACAGAGGCGCTGAGGTAAAACAGGGAGGCAATGCAGTGGTAGGCTGCATCCTGCAGAGTCAGAAAGGGCCATCAGAGATGGGGTCCCAGATGCAGCGATGGGGCAGCCGTGGTCCCAGCAAGGCCGCCCACACCACCTGTCCTTCCATGGGTTGGCTCACGTCTCCCCATTATCTTCTGCTACTACCTTTCACTCCCCTCCCCACATCTCGTTTTCTCACTGGTTTGGGAGCCAGAGTAAGGACTTTGATGGGGGAAGGGATGCTGTTTTCCCTTGAGGGTGGATCAAATAAGAGGGGGACACCTGGGGTTTAATAGGTAGCACTGGTTCTGGACCTGAGAAGTGTCAGATGTGGTCACAGTCCTGGTGCAGATGTGGCCTCAGTAACCAGTACAAGTGAGAGAGGCCGCAGCCATTTCCATTTCCGTGGCTGTTTCATTGTTCATTGGGACAGGGAGGGGGTAGAATGGGTGGGGGTGGGTAGGGGGTATATATTAAAATTTAAAAAGTACTAAAGCAGGGTTTTGTACAGTCTTAAGCTGGAGGGGATTTCAGAAGTCTAAGTAGGAGGCCTTATCAGAGCTGAGTCTTGGACAAATGGGCCCTGGCCCCTCCACCACTGGTAATGGGGTAAGTGTCCCTGAAAAGGCAGGCACCCCTTCATGGCTCTCAAAGTAGAATCTACACACACTAGAGACTGCAGGGCATTCTGCTTCCCCCTCCAATTTGCACTCTGGTAACGCGGCTTTAGAAGGCTGTGACTAGGCAGTGAATGAAGCCTCACTCTGGGCAGCTGAGGCCAGCCCCCAGGACTCTGCTACCCCCAGATGGAAACCAGTCTTCCCAGCCAATGGGAGGAGGCTTCTGGCAGGTGTAGGCAGTATGGGGAGGGGGTCTCCTGGTTATCCATGGAAAAGGCCGTCATGCAGGAGAAAGCAGAGCAGGCCCAGGAGACTCAGCAGCTACCTTCACCTTCCAACCCCCTTGCTGCCCCGAGCTGCATGGAGCATGCAGCCGGGAGCATGCAGCCAGGAGCTGCAGCCAGGCCAGTTCAGTCTTGGAACATAGGAAGCATAGGAAGGAGATGGAAAAACCAGACTTCCAGGAAGAAGGTCAAAACCACCTGCCCCTTCAAACACCCAGGGCTGGGACTCACCGCGGTGACCCAGGACGTCTCCCCACCATGGGCACCAATTATGTACAGGACCAGCAGGGTTGTGGTGGCCAGGAAGCAGAACACAGACACGAACATCACCCAGCCCTGGATCAGGGGTATGGGCACCATGGACGAGGCGATCAGGATCCATACCAGGCCCCCAAAGACCTGCAGAGGATAGGAGGGCAGGGGTAAGCATCCGATCAAGAGAGCCAAAGCCCAGGAAGGGCCAGACCCTGAGGCTGCACTGGGCACTAGAGGCAGAAAACCAGGAAGGAGGCAGAGAGGCAAAGGAGGCGGGCAAAAATGACTCACCTCCCTCAAGTCCTATCCTGAATCTCCAACCTCAATCTTTCTAACGCCTGCTTCCTTGCCTTTATTGATTTTTAAAATACAGTTTAAATTTTTCATTGAACAAACACATCAGTCTTCCATTCCCAGCATTGTCCTAAGCACTTTACAAATATTAACTCAGTTGCTTCTCACAAGAACCCTGTGAACAAGGTACTGATCCATTTGTCATAAGGGGAAATTGAGGCACATGGAAGTTACATAATTAGCCCTTCCAAGATAGGACTTATGCCATTCAGTAATATTAGAAGGGCTGTACTTTATTCTGAGCTTAAAGCCTTCTTAGTATTTTTGATGTAAAAATATCCTTTCTTTGATAAAATGGTAGTGACCAGCAGATTCTTTTGGTCTTGGCAAGATAAATTACCCACACTATGTCAGTCACATCAAAAAAAAAATTTTTTTTAAATGTTCAACATAACTTGTAATCAGGGAAATGCAAATTAAAACTACCATGAGATACCATCTTACACCAGTGAGAATGGCACATATTAAAAAAACTAGCAACAACAAATGTTGGCGAGGGTGTGGAGAAAAAGGAATTCTCCTGCACTGTTGGTGGGAGTGCAAACTGGTCCAACCACTGTGGAGAGCTGTGTGGAGATTTCTGGACCTACTAAACATAGAGCTTCCACAGGATCCAGCAATTCCACTCCGAGGTATTTACCCAAAGAACACAGAAACATCAATTCCAAAGAGCACCTGCACCCCTATGTTTATAGCAGCACTGTTTACAATAGCTAAGCTTTGGAAACAACCCAAATGCCCAAAAATAGATGACTGGATCAAGAAGATGTGGTACATATACACCATGGACTATTACTCAGCATTCAAAAAAGATAAACACATGCAATTTGCAGCAACATGGATGGCACTAGAAGGGATCATGCTCAGCGAAATAAGCCAGAAAGAAAAAGAAAAATACCGGATGGTCTCACTCATAGCAGGAATCTAGAAAACTTAAATAAGGGACCAGGTAAAAGAATAACTATAAGAAAGTGAAAATCAAAATCAACAAAAAACTATGAACCAGAGACACTCTATGGGTGGGGGGTGCAGGGAGGGGAGGGATTGGGGTCAAAATAAGGGGGTTGCAATTGTAGGGGGAATATAAAAATAAAATTTATTTAAAAAAATTTTTTTTAACCCCTTAAAGCCCTAAGTCTAGGAAGCACTCTGACAATTGAGCAGGGGCTGGGATGGAGAAGGCACCTGTCAGGTTTCCTTGGGTGACCTTGGATGGGCATGAAGAAAGCACTCCCTTGCTGTTATCCATAATTCACCCCAGCTGATATCCACAGGGTCAGTGAACCCCATGTATTTATTTTTTTTAAAGATTTTATTTATTTATACAAGCACTGGGGTACAGTCCAGATGTGCGGGAGGGTGAGAGAATTCACCAGAGACAGAGCAGGGAGCAGAATAGGCAGGTGGACCGAAGACACTGCTGAGGGGAGCAGCGGGCGAGACAGGAGAGGTCTGCCCCGCCATGTGGGAATCTCCCTGGCCGGCCAGGATCGAACCGGCATGGCAGAGGCTGCGGACAGCTTCACAGCGCTGTGCTCAACCCGCTGCACCACCCGGGAGGCCCCCCCATATATTTAAAGAGGACTGCAGGACTCCCTGTGGTGGGTGATGATGGACATAGGGGTCAGTGAGACCCTCAGTGCTGCAGCCCTGCCCTCTAGTGGACAAGCTGGGATTTTCTCTCTTCTTGCCCCTTTGGGTCCCAGTGAGATTAGTTTACTCTTAACCCCCGTCCCCTACCCAGAGGACTCGGAGCAGCCAGGGACACGAGTGGAGAGGCCTTTGCAGTCAAAGTTTCCAAGGTACTTCTGAGTACCTGGTACTGAAGATGAGATGCCCTCCCAGTTCTCTGTCGCCTGTGATGTGACCTCAAGTGGTACTTTGACCCCACCTCCCTGGACCTGCTGCCCGCCACTGTCCCCACAGGGGTCTCTGTGCCTCTTGGCTGAGAAGTATCAGGAGGCGATCCATTTGGGTGAAGAAAGTAGTGCAGTGAAGAGTCTGAACTATTGAATCCCATTTGGGCCTAATGAATTAGCTGAGAGCATCTCGGACCAGAAAACTCCCTCTGTTGATGGCAGTGTTTGTGACAGTGCCAGTGGAGCAACCTTATAATGGTGGGAACAGAAATCAAATAAAAATTCTTAGCCATAGAATAAGATATGTGTGTAGATTCCATCCATAGATGCCTTTAAGATCAAACAGATTACTTGGCCTTTTCCATAACATTCATGGACAGAGGAGTGTGAGTGTGCTGACGGCTGAGCCAGACTTGGGTTTGGAGGCACAATAATCCAGCATGGAGGACCAGCTGGGGCAGAGCCAGGGCCTGGGGCACTTCACTCCTGAGCATCCTTAGCCTGTTCACCCTCAGTCATCCCAGGAAGACCAATCTAAGTTAGGTTCCCAGCTCATAGGCCCTCGGGCAGCTCCACACTTCTGTTCTCAGCGCTGAACACTGAGCAGGGACTTGTTAGTTACAAAATGGAACTTCCCCTGGCCAGGCGATGGAGGGGGTAAGCAGTCCCTTGCTGACAGCTAAGTCCTGAGTGTCCAGCCATGTGTCCGAGGGAGTTAAGTGGCCTTCAGGGTCTCCTGTTAGATGGGTGTGGCTAAAGGGGAAATTTGTGAACCAATCCAAAGGAATAGCTTGGGAGCAGATGGAAGGGACGGCACACTGTGAAATCCTGTGTGCGCCCCGTGGGCTGGAGCTGCTTGTGCACAGCCAATGGTGTGGCCTTGTGGAACGTGAATGCCACACGGGGAGAACGATTCTCTTCCATTCTCTGGTTTTTCTGAAAGGTAAGAGAAGGCTCCGAGTGCAGCAGTTGAAGGTCTTGAGATCCCCCAGAGCACGGCTTCCAAGAACCGGAAGGCAGAGGTAAAATGGATAATGGGATTGCTGTTGTTCTTATAGTCCATAATACAGTTGTTTTGGGAAAAAAGCAGTAAGTGGCAGAGGCAAAGCCTGAGATGGAGGCTCTGAGATCCTAAGCTGAGTTCATTTTACTTCACTTCAGCTTGAGTCCTCCCAATGTGGCTTAGTCAGGATCAAAGTCAGAAAAAAGGAGGGGAAGTCGCTGCTGAGCATGCACTTCTAGCTGCAGTCAGAGCGTTGGCGCCAAGCTTCCGGCAGGCAGGGCAAAGGGAAGCTTCAAGGTTAATCCCGACTCTGGTAGGACTTGCAGTCCGGAGCTGGTGGGTGTGGTGTGGTAACAATACCTGAAGGATGCAATGCCACAACTCTAAATCACATATTGTTGTAAAGAGATGTCCCACACACAATCCTGACTCTTGACCTGTTTTGGGTGTGTACTTTCACCAAGCTGATGGAGACTGATGTCCAGCTCCTCCCAAAATGTGTTCTCTTACTCACACTCATGCAGATTCAAATAGTAGATGGCAGGAATCCCTGCTCACAACCGTTGACAGGAGCAAAGCACACCCAAAGCTCAGCCCAGGCCCCTGCCTCCTCGCCCCCACCCCAGACTTAGGACCCTCTCCGGACTCTGGCTGTACTACCTGGCCAAGGTCCTCTAAAAAAATCATGCTGCCTTTTCCCCCTTTGCATGGTTTATCTATAGCAATGAGTTTCACAGGAAGAAGATGGGGAGGAATTCTGTTCTCTTTCTTTTTAAGCCCAGAATGCTCAGATTCTAGCTATTACCTTTCATCAGGTACCCACAACGTGTTAGTCAACGTGCCAGGTATTTCACATGTAAAATCTCATGTCATTTAATCCTCACAGCTGCCCTGCAAGGTAGGTATTTGCTCCATTTTACAAATGGAGACATTGGGGCACAGGAGAGTAAATATCTTATCCCCATAGTCAGATTTATACTGAGGTGAATTCAGGTGTACCCCCACTTTTATAGCAGAAGGGGGTTTCTTATATCAGTACTCTCATATTTGCCTAAAATCATTCCAAAAGTCCGCCTTTTGTTTTATGCCTTTTGTTTCTGTCTGTGCCCTGAAAGAGCAGAGCCAGAAGTCAGAGGGCAGTGAATATCTAGGGAGGATACTGAAGAAGGCAGGGATCTCTGCAGAGTGGAGAAATTCTTTTTAAAAAACATCCTTTATGAGATGCAATTCACATATTATACAACTGCCCCACTTAATGTGTATAACTTATACCTTTTAGGATATTCTTGGATCTGTGACTATGGCCATCATCCCCAGTACCAATTTTGGGACATTTTCATCTCCTCAAATGCAACCCTGTACCCTTTGGTTATCTGTCCTCCCTGCCCTACCATTCCTCAGTGAACTCTAATCAACTTTCTGTCTCTACAGATTTCCCTATTTTAAACTTTCATATGAATTGAATTACATAATATGTAGAATTTTATGACTAGCTTCTTTCTTTCAGCTTAATGTCTTTCAAAGTGAGAAATTCTCTCAAGGAGGCTTTTACAAAATCTTGCTCAAGGAGAATTTACATCACAACATACACCACACACCCATCTGAACCCACCATGTGGGGGACACTGATTGAATGTGTTTCATCCCAATGAGAGCTCTAGGCTGGAAAAAGCTGAGAAACCACTGGTTCTTAGGGGATCTGTTTTACAGACACTTGCCCCAGAAACATATCTTAAGTTACCCAGCTTGCAACAGAAAAGTCCTAGCACAGATGAAATGATTAAACCTGGGTGTTTACTCAAGAGATGGGCACTCTGTGTGCCCAGAGAAATGCAAGGGGGCAGGCTGCAGGAAGGAGTCCCAGGGGACCACCTGGGAGGGGTACTAGGTGGGTACAGAACAATCTTGAGAAGATACGAGGGGAGAGG